CTAATTCAAATGATTTTTACTGCTTGCACAAGGTTGCAGAATTTCATCTATTAAGTTAAGAAGCAGTAGCAGGGAGGCAGTCTAGAACAGAAAGCCTGGCTTGTATAACAAGCTGGGTGACCCTCAGTCAGTTACTTACCCTATTATGCTTCTTTTCCTTTATATGTAAAATAGGGATAATTAAGTCATAACTACACCTACTTTCTGAGGTTTTGGTGGGCATCAGATGTGCTTATAATAGCACCTGATACACAGGAGGTGCTGAACAACTGCCATTTGTTGTTATTTTTATTTCCTAACTAAATAAGAGGTGAACACATACATAGACTACTAAAAAATAAACACTCAAAAGGGTAGAAATATCAAAGTATTTTTTCATTGATGCCTTTAAATATATATCAACATGCCAAAAAGGTACTTCTATTTGTTCCAATAATCAAAGAAACTGTTGCTATTAGCTGTCATCAAGTCAGCGTCCGACCCATAGAAAGCCCACACCCCATGGAATGAAATGCTGCCTGGTCCTATGCTATACTCAGGATCTGTGTGGACTGGGCCACTGTGATCCACAGGGTTTTCACTGGCTGACTTTCAGACATAGATGCCAGTTTCTTCCCTTCTGGTCCATTTTAGTCTGATGTTCCACTGAAATCTGTTCAGCATCACTTCAGTAAGCAAGTCCTTACTGACAGCGCAGTGGCTGTTTGTGAGATGCACTAGGCTGAATATTGAACCTGGGTCTCCTGCACGAAAGGTGAGAATTCTCCCACCAAACCACAACTGTCCCCCCAGTGAAAAAATAAGGCCCTATATTAGCGAATATTCTGCTCAACTATTGATCCACTACTGGGGGTGGTGGTGGTGCAGAATCTGGCCTGATAATATGTGCATGTTTTCATTTACAAAGGCAAGAACAACCAAACAAGTATTTTGAAAGGGACTCTTCCTTCAATGACAGATATCCCAATAGTCTTCCAGTAAATCACTTCCAGCTACACTAAAACATCTTTAACATAATAATATAGTAATAATAATGTTTTGATGTGCATTGCAAAGTAGCACCCGTGTGTTATTACAAACTATAGCATGTACCTCAAATTTTTAATAGGCTTTACAGAGGTTGGTTCCTAAATCTACAGGTTGTATGTAAGCCGGACATTTGTAACCTGGTAACTGACTTTAGATATAACAGCCTGAAATTCAAGTAAATCTTTATAGGGGCTAAAAGAACTCTTTCAACTGCCTACCACAAATATAACAACCAACCTGCAGCTGTGCACATCATGGTTTATAATTTTTTTCGTACTCTTTCTACAAAGGCCAGAATTGGCTCCTGCAACTCTATACTCACCTGAATTTTCCAAATGTCCTTCTTGTTGCTTCAACTTCTAATATATGTAAGCACTAAAAGCTCAAAGTCCAGGATTAGAACATGAACCTTTGTCCCTCTTTCTTTTTCAAAGTGATCCTACCCATTTCAGTCTATACATACCATCTATATGCTATTGAGAAGTAAATTTAAGTACTAGTTTAAACCTCTTATCCAACTTCTGGAATCACATACCCAACTGTCCATTATGCCCATTATGGAACTATCCCCTCCTGAAAATAGCATGTTGTTGTTATGTGCCATCAAGTTGGACCCGACTCACAGCGACCCCTCCTTGGGTTTCCAAGGCAGTATCACTATAGAAGCAGATTGCCCAATCTTCCTTCTGAGGAGTGGCTGGTGGGTTTGAACCACCAGCCTTCTGGTTAACAGTCAAGTACCTTAGGCACTATGCTACCAGAGCTCCTGAAAATAGCATAGGCACCTCAAATTTTACATGTTTAAAATAGATCTTTTAATTGCCTGCGTACTGTCCCCTTCAAATGTGTTTATTTCTTCTTTCTTTTTTTTCTTTATCTCCTGCTCCTGAGCACTATCTAAATGCTCAAGCAAGTAACCTGGAAATTAAATATGATTGCTCACTCCAAATAGTCCATCCATCCCAAGTTCTGCCATGGGTACTTCCAAATGTATCCGGAAACCATCTTTTCTCTCCATTTCTGCCACCACCACTCTGGTGCAAGCATCTATCATTTCTCTCACCTGGACTATCTACAATAGCCTCCTTTCTAGCTGGTCTGTTTCAACTCTTAACCTCCTACAAGCACAAGGATCCTTTATAAATGTGAATCAGATCATGGACTGCTCTTCGGAAATCCTCCAGTGACTTCCCACCACATTGGTGATAAAATGCTTACCATGCTCACTTGTTCCTCCTCATGATTTATCCCTGCCTCTTTCTCCAACCTCTTATCACTTCTCTTTCCACCATATTTTGCCACTTCAATTATCTCCTAGATTACACAAAGCTTGTTTCTTTCTCAAGAATCTTTGCATATGCTTTTCCCTCTGCTTTTTGCAAGGTCAACTCTCTCCTGTCCTTAAAATTTCAGCTTAACCTCCTCAGAAGCTTTCCCTGATCAAGTATGTATCAGCTACCTCTGACACTACTGTTTATTACTGTACCTTGTTCATGTCCATCTAAGCATTCTTATACATCTATTGATCATCAGCTCAAATGTTACCTTTTTTGTGACCTTTTCCAGAAAGTCACTAGTACTTCTTTCAGACTTCATTAAATCAGTTCCTGTCAAGTTGATTCTGACTAATGGTGACCCCACGTGTGTCAGAGTAGAACTGTGCTCCAGAGGGCTTTTAACAGCTGAAATGGTTTGCCAGGCCTTTCTTCTGAGCTCCCTCTGGGTGGACTCATACCTCAACTATCTGCAGATTTCACTACACATGAATAAAACATTTATCTTGGTAGATTGTAGTATCCTCTAATTAGCATACCACTAAAGAGTAAATTCCTTGAAGGAAAGAACATTTCTTTCACCTACCTCCAGTATCTAGCATAATATTTAATTGAATAAATAAGCAGATATGGAACTATATTTTCCAATTTTCAAACACAAACTCTTAATTCACATAAATCATACATTCTCAATGGGGTCAATATCATCTCAAAAGATAAAAATTAGTTCTTGGGTGTGGCAGTTAAGTTTGTGTGTCAATTTGGCTGGACCTGGTTGAGTGGCTGGGCAGCTGGTGGTAGTTATTCCTCATGGTTAAGACTGGTAATTAACTCCATGGTGGAATCTATTGGAGTTGCTGAGTAGCTGCTTTACGGATGTGGTCTGCTTCCCATATATAAGCAGCAGCTTTGGGAATGGTCTCTAGTTTATGGCATGCTTGAACTCTGCATGTAACTGAGTCGTTGTTCACCAGCCTACCATGCTCTGCCGACCTTGGGACTTTCAACGGACTTGAATTAATGGTCTGACGTGTGGTTTGATAACATCGGGACTATGCCTTTTTACTTGTCAAACTTGGGATTGTCAGTCTCAGCAGTCAGCAGCTGTCTGAGTGAAGAAAAGCCTCCAGCTTCAGTAGGCTGGGAGCAGGAGGCAAAGCTGGAGCCCAAGGTTGAAGGGCTTTCACCCAGCTCCTAAAGACTGGCACCTTAAACTCAGATTTAAATCCTCCAAACTAAGAGAATAAACTCCTGTTTGTTAAAGCCATCCAATTTGTGGTATATTCTTGTCAGAGTGGCACTGGGTAACCAAAATATTGGGGGAGGTGAAAAATCTTAGATATTACAATGGTTTTTAGTTTCATAAACTCATTTTTGCCTGACAAAATCTCATTTAGTATTTAATTTCTTTCATAAGGGAGATATTAAATGTATCTTATTTTAATTAATTAATTTAAACCAGGTCTAGTTTTTCTCTTTATGTAATGAAAAAAACTGAAATAATAAAATAAGTGTTTGAGAAATACCAATGTATAGTCTTTTCCTCAACCTCCCCCTTATTTTTAAAACTCTTGCTCAAGTCATTACTGTCAGCTGGAATCACCACTCTCTACCCCACTAACACAAATAATTCCTATCTTTAAAGCCCCAGGTAAAATTTATCTCCTCCGTGAAGCTTTTTCTTCTACTAGTTTTTCCCATATTCCTGGCTCCTTTTTCTGAGTGTCTATAAGCTTAAGGAACTTTGGTGGCACAGTGCCTAAGGCATTTATTTAACAGCTAACCAGAAGGTTGGCAGTTCAAATCCACCAGCTGCTCCATAGAAGGAAGCTGGGGCAACCTACTTCAGTAAAGATTTATCACCTTGGAGACCCAATGCAGGTCACTATGAGTCAGCATCAACTCTATAGCAGTGGGTTTGGTTTGGTTTTTCTTTTTTTAATAAGCATTCATATATAGTCTGTACCACAAAATTTCATACCTACTTATGTACTGACTCAATTATCCTTTAACCGGTTCAAATACGTTTCTCTCTCTTTTCACTATAATTCAAGTTGTCTGGAGGCAGTAACCATATTAAAACATTTATGTCCCTTATCAATGCTAACACAGAAAACAAGCATACAAACAAGGATGTTGATAATTTTCTTATGTAGAAATCTTCATTAACTGAGTTTTAATTAAGCAGAATTTACCTGAAGTGTTAACAGGTAGAAGAAAAAGTCAGAAGTACACCAAGTCAAGCCTTGCAGCAACAGACAAACAAACAAGGAAAGTATATAGGGGCTCTGAAGGCAAAGTCACTCCATGTGATCTTTGTAGTGGTCAGCACAGCACCATGTGTAATGAAGTATACAAAGATACGGTAATGAAGAATAGCTGAAGTCAAATATTCAATACAAAACTATTTTCTGTTAACTGGGAAGAATATAGTCCTCTATTGAGGAAATCACTGGGTAACACAGACAAAAGGAAACAGAGCACAGGTTATTTAAATTTTTTAATAAAAAATACTTCTAATAATGTTGTATGGACTCTATGGCATAGCTCCTTGGTTATTTTTGTTCCTCTCTCCACAGACCTTACTAGCTGAAAATAAATCTGTTAAATTTCTATAGCACAGAAAAATGTGTGGCTGTGGAATTCTGAATCGTTTTTAAAATTTTCAGATGTTTATTTTAGCAGGAAATCACTGACCTACCTCTGATCTGTTTTTGAGGAGGTAGGAAAAATGTCTTCTTCCATGTCTGACTCATCCATCTCAATCACCTAAGGGGGAAAACAATACAGCAGACGGTTTTTGTGGGAATGGAACCATCTCAATAAAAATGGTTAATAACTGGATCTTAAAAGTGCTTTTTAAAAATATACTAAAAAGCTGTAAGGAGGCAGAAGCCATGTAAGCAGCACCTACTTAAATCAAAGCTCAGCCCTGCCCTCCCTCCAATGTCATTTTCATTCACAACTGGTCTTCTACCCTACAGGTCTTAGCGCACTTCTCTTCAGGCCATCACAGGAGCCTGTATCTAAAATAACAGCCAGTTAGATCGGTAAATGGCTTCCAAAGGCTTATGTGCAGACAGTGCCCTGCAGTTTTCTTCTTGGATCCTAATGAAAGTTAGACCATCGAAGTTCAGGCTCCAATTTTAAATGAGGTATGAGACCATGTTGGAAGTACTGTATATTTTATTTCTGTCATATTTGTCCCTGTTAAATACCATTTTTAAAGTCCCAATGAAGGTATTTCTGACTCTTGATTCTATTATCCAAAATCCTAACTATTCCTCTACATTATGGTTATCCTGACATTGAAAAACACTATGTTTTTATCTAACTGTTGACAAAAAGTGCAGATGAGAATGAATCCAATGACAGAGCACTAAAATAGAACATCCAAGACCTCTCTTCCAGTCTGACACTGAATGATTAACCAAGTCATGAAACACAGTTGTCCAAGAAGCTATGAATCCAGACCATATTTCTGTGTTTTGTTCATAAACTATTATAAGGAGATTGTCTTAAGCACCTTGAAGGAATCAAATGCATTCAACATCTCCCTGATCTACCACTGTGTAATCTCAATCAAAAAATGGAAAGAGAAAGCTAATGTGGCATGACTTGGCTCTTTTTGAACTCATGTTCTTGTCTTATGATAGAAAAAAATCTAAAAGGGAAGCTACTTTGCATATATGATACCAACTTTGGGTTCAGATAGATGAATCTTGAAGCAATAGCTGGACAACAGTTGATTGCAAATAATTAAGCAGATTAAACAATTAAACAGAGCTAAGGATAAAAGTTAGCACTGTTATAAGTGGATAACAGATTAAAAAAAAGATGATGTTAAGACAAATAGAAGAACAAGATTTGAATCAAGACAGATTTAATCGGATATGTTGATTGTTAGCACCCATTTGTGTCTAGAGGAATGAAATATGAGAAAAGGCTACTGGGGAAGTATGATATAGAGCTGTAGTTCCCAAATGGGAGTCATTTTATACCCCACTCTCCACTCTGAGGACATGTGGCAAGATCTGGAGACATCTATGACTGTCATGACTAGGGGAAGGGTTGCTGCTGGCATCTAGTGGGTGGAGGCCAAGGATTCTGCTTAGCCTTTCACAATGCACAGGACAGGCCCTACAACTAAGAAATATCTGAACCAAAATGTCAATAGTGCCATTACTGAGAAACTGTGATTGAAATGGAAGAGTCAGGAGTTAAAATACATGGGTTTTGTGAGCAAGGTAGTAAGAGTCAAGCCCATACTGGACTTTTCTTGGCATTTTTTTTTTCTTTTGCATTTTATTGAAATATAATTTATATACAGTAAAATACACAAAATTAAAGTGACCTGGATCAATGAATTTTTTTTTTTTTTTTTTGCAGTGTTCCCTCCCTCCCCCTCCCACCTCTGGTAACCAACAAAGAAAGTTTCCCTCTATATATAAACTTTTCCTTGACCCTCCTCAACAACTATATTTGTCTAATACTAAAACTATATTTGCCCTTCTGTGACTGACTTATGTCATGCAGCATAATGTCCTCCAAGTTCATCAATATTATGCAGTGTTTTGCAGACTCTACATTATTCCTTAGTGCTGCATAGCATTCCATTATGTGTATGTGCCATAGTTTGGTCATCCACTCTTCCGCTATAAATCTTAGAGATAGGTCCCTTGCCAGACATGTAATTATTGGCAAATATGAATTTGTTGCTGTCATTTTTGTTATGTGCTTTTTTGTGGTGTTGATTTCTTTGTTCCATATAATTTTCTATGCTGAGCTTGTTTTGTTTATGAATCATGTTATCACTTCCTTCATTGTTTTATTTTAGTATTTGCTGAATATAAATGCCGGTCCTCTTTTGTGATGTGAAGCTTTATCAATTTTCTTTGAGGTTACCCTGTGATTTAGTTTTCTTCTCAAGTTTAGAACAGTCCGTTCTATCTTGCAGTTGTCTTGACTTCCCTACCATCTACAAATTCTGTAATGACACAGTTTTTTCCTTCTTTTTGGTTTGTAGTTGTCATCATTTGTCAACTGATGTCTCTAGCTCCCTGTTTACAATCTTGTAGGCTTATTTACTTTGGATACTTCCATAGTTGGGTTGGTTTCTGGGTTAAATCATGTGTGTTAATGGTCAGTTGTTGGCTGTTGTTGCTTCTCTGTCCAAAGGGCTCCCGTTAGCATCTGTTGTAAGGTTAGTCTGCTTGTAACAAATTCCTTTAATTTCTGCTTATCTGGAAATGTCCTAATTTCACCATCATATGTGAGGGACAGTTTTGCTGGGTACATAATTCTTGGTTGGAAATTTTTCTCTTTCAGTGTTTTATATATACCATCCTATTGTCTTCTTGCCTGCATGGTTTCTCTTGAGAAATCTGAGCTTAGTCTTATTGGTTGCCCCCGTAGGTAACTTTTCATTTTTCCCATGCTGCTTTTAGGATTCTTTGTCTTTGGTTTTGGTGAGTTTGATGATATGTCTGGGTGATTTTCTTTTGGGGTGTATCCTGTTTGGGGTTTGTTGGACTTCCTGAATATACTCTCATCTTCCTGAATATATTTCACATCTTTCATCAGGCAAATTCTCTTCCAACAAATCATCGGCAGTTTTCTCTGTGGTTTTATTTGTGCCTTCCTGTTTTGGAATTCCGATTACACGTAGGTTATTCCTTTTGATGGTATCCCACTTGAACCTTAGGCTTTCTTCATTTCGTTTTGCTCTTTTTTCTGATTTATCCCTTTCCAAAGAAGTGTTTGGGTGTTTGCCTTCAATCTCCCTAATTCTGTCTTCCATTGATTCAATTCTGCTCCTTTGTTCAATCAATGTCTTATCTATTTCTGAAAATTAAGTATTAATCTTCTGAATTAGTGTGTAGATTTTATATCATTTCTAATTTTTCATTTATTTTGTCATTTTGTTCTTATATCGTCTTTTGAAATTGTTGTAGGTTTTCTCTGTGTTTTCCTTGATCTGTCTCTCAATACGTTGAAGATACCTAAATATAATTCTTTGAATTCCTTCTCAGGGACTTCCAATGCTGTGTCTTCCTCAGGGATATGTTTTAGGTTTGTATCCTGGTCCCTTGTTTCTCCTGCTTTATCTTGCTTCTTTGTGTGGACTGTGATGCTCTGTTGTCTCCGAGGCATTGTAATGTTTTTGTGTTTATATTTAATTGGAGATCGTATGTTGGAGTGACTTGCCCACGATTTTCATTTTCTTTGTTTTGTTTGTATGTTATCTACACAAGCAGGGTATAGTGCTGTGCTCCTCCGTTTGCTATTGGGCAGCACTTATACAATCACCACCTGTCTCCTTTCCTGTTGTCAGCCTTCATATGCCCTTGCCGACCTTGGCAAACAGAGCCTATTCTTAGGTCCCTGGAATCCGAATGAGAATGCTATCATCTTAAAATCCAAAATGGTTGCCACTTGTAAAGTTTCAAAATGGCTGCACCCTCGATCACTTTAAATATCCACAATGGCTGCCACTTACAAACATTCAAAATGGCTGTGCCCTCAGTCACTGTAAACATCCAAAATGGCTGCCATGTATAAACAATCAAAATGGCTGCACCCTTCGGACAGTCGAAAGTCAACAGCTCAGGTTGTCTCCCACCTTGCTGTTTCCCTTCCTAGACAAAGGCCACCAGCGCAGTTGTCCCTGCAGCCTTTGGTGACCAGGTCTGATCTTTAGGTCAATTTTCAGGTCCCAACACCACTTGGAAATATTCAGGCTGTTGGTCCCATCAGAGTAGCTGACAGTCCGCAGCTCCAACCATCTCTGTACTCAGTTTTTGTTCAGGTTTTTCCACGAGTGGTGCCTAACACACTTCTGTATAGTTTCTTTCAAAGCTCAGGGCTCCAGGATTACCTTCTGTATCTCGGTCAATTGGTTTTTCTTTTCTTTGTTGAAGAAGGTCTGTGTCACATGTCTGCCTATTCCTCCATCTTACTGGAAGTCTTTTTTTGGAATTCTTAAGAAGAGCATAAGGCTCTTCAGTTAAGGATCTAACTTTAATCTATAGTTAGGAATACAGAGGTCCTTAGATTTTCACCCTTTACTGGGTTCAGGTCTAGTTTCAGCTGTTTAGGCACAAGCCAGAGTATTGTGAAAGTGTAAGTGGCAAAAGGAATCCAGATATAAATAAAACCTATATGAGCACCGAACTCACCTTCAATATTAGTATTGCATGCTTGGACCCTCTTGATTCAACACTGTTATTCATAAAAATATTCATGTACATATACATTTATTTATTTCCAATCACATAACCTATTATTTTAAAAAGAAAACAAAACAAAAATTCAAATCCTAGAAGCCCTCTGGTTTGACTGATCAACAATGTTCTTTCAAGCTTTAATATTCTACACTTTTTCTTCTTTATTTTGTAGATCAAAGAATTAACAATTCATAATGAAGGAAATAAATTATTAAAATACAATACTTACCTCAGAATAATTCTTAGTAGGAACATTTCGAGAGGGCTGCTGTCTTGTAGATTTAAAGGCTAGGATAAAAAGGATGGAACATCTCTTAAGTAATTTTTAAAATAACTTAAAAATCTGCACACTTCTTTAGCAGGAGATTTTCTAAGTCCTCTCTGCAGGCGGCCATGATGAGTAATTATAAAACCATTTACATATTTTTAAATTTGGAGGGAGGTGGAATTATTTGTTCAAATAGCCCAATGACTAGCTGCCAGTCTCATGATTTCCCAGAGTATTTACAGAACTACCATATGGAAGGTTGGGCAATCCTACTTCCGTAGTGGTACTGCCTCGGAAACCCAAGGAGGGGTCACTATGAGTTGGGGCCGACTCGATGGCACACAACAACAACAACAACAACTATATGTGGGGGGTACAAATACACCCACACAAAAAAATATTTTGCAGAAAAATACCTGAAGGATAAAATCTGATCATCTAACTGACTGAATTCTGAATACATTAATGATAAACTTCAAATAGGCTTCATTCATGAAGACTATCCAGAAAGAACCAATCCTATTATCTTCCTACTTTGTAGTCTATGAATTCCTTCCCTGTGGCTGTATTTGGAGCTTTGTGATTTCAGTAGGAACTTCCTGATCTCCTCTACCCTATTATTGTTATTGTTGTTGTTATGCATTGAGTCATCCCCAACTCATAGCGACCACTCCTTGGGTTTCCAAGGTAGTATCACTACGGAAGTAGACTGCTCAACCTTCCATCCGAGGAGTGGCTAGTGGGTTTGAACCAGCAGCCTTCTGGTTAGCAGTCAAGTGCCTTAGGCACTACGCTACCAGAGCTCCTCCTCTATTTTATTAGAACTGTACTCACTGTTTTCGTTCAGGTTTTTCTACGAGTTGGTGCCTAATCCACTTCTGTACAGTTTCTTTCAAAGCTCAGGGCTCCAGGTGATCTTCCGTATCTCGGTCAATTGGTTTTTCTTTTCTTTGTCGAAGAAGGTCTGTGTCGCTTGTCTGCCTATTCCTCCATCTTACCGAAAGTCTTTTTTTGGAATTCTTAAGAAGAGCATAAGGCTCTTCAATTAAGGATCTAACTTAAACCTATAGTTAGGAATACAGGGGTCCTTAGATTTTCACCCTTCAGTGAGTTCAGGTCTAGTTTTAGCCGTTTAGGCACAAGCCAGAGTATTGTGAAAGTGTTAAGTGGCAAAAGGAATCCAGATATAAATATAATGATATTCAATACCAGAAGGAAGACATACCAGAAGGGGAATTCCAGAAAACAGCATACATTCATTCCATTATAAAACTTTCCTTAGAATCCTTAACATTTTTAGCTTTATAAACGTGGCTAGAAACTTAAAGCTTAGCTAGCTCTTTATCTTACCTCTTGAGACCAAAGCCTAGAATAAATCTCAGTCAATTACAGGTTGATTTTTGCTTAAGCCTTATCAGTTTGCTAATACAGTAAAATCTGTGAAAGCTGGAACATGTGTAAGACAGAAACCTGTCAGAAGGATAACTCAAAATATTTTCTACTAAAAAGAGCAATGGCAAGATGGTAAGGCTGCACTCTGCCAAAAGTGGAAAACTTGTAAGACCTGGAGAAGCAAGGCAGTCCCAGTGACTTCTGACTGTCACAGGTTTCACTGTATTTAAAAATATCTCTTCCAAGACAATTCCCCAAATCAAACAGCGCTCGGAGAGAAAGAAAGACAGAAGACTTGAAAAAGGCAATCACTCAAAATATCTTGCAAAATCAAAATTTTTCCTCGTCAGGAAACCTCAGGGAAATCTAGCTAGGCCTCAACTTTATGATTTACTCATTCTTCCTAGTCCAGGTTCTATCCCCAGTCATGTGATGTCTACCCAAGAAGGAAAAGGCAAGGCAGGAGCAGAGTGCTTCAGCCCTACTTAATAACTATTCTCACACCCTCCTCCACTCAAAAGGCAAAACTGGGCAACGGAACACAAGAGCCAGTGATCATGATGCTCCCAAGGAATACTTCTGCTCAGTATTTATTCACTAAATGCTTCGTCAGACTCTGAGATCTACGATAAGAATACTCCTCTCTTTTCATTTCCTGGATAGCAAAAGATGAAAAAATGTGGAATAAATAAACTTCATCAGAAAACTAAGGGCTGAGTTTTGTTAGAAAGACAACAAACTGTGATTAAGAGCTCTGGTTTTGAGTGAAACTCAGTGACTTACTAGCTGAGTGACTACTGGCTAAGTTCTCTGGCTTCTTTAAGTCTCAGTTTCCTCACCTGTAAAATAATGTAAATACTTCATGCAGAAAACTGTTCAAAGGATAATAGGTAGTTCGTGTAAATTGCATGGGCAAGTGTCTAGCAGGGAGTAAGCCTTCCAATAAATGCCGTTATCAGAAGTAACAATAGATGCGGTAGATGGTAGCCAGAGTGGAAAACATAATCAAAGGCTTAAGAGGTGTTTAATTCCCTCAGTCACAGTCAACTTAAACAGAAAAAATCTCAGCTGTCAACTTTTTTATTTACAATCACTGCAGGCTAAAATTTCTACTTTTCTCAATAAAATTCCAATAGTATAATCTTCATACGTCATGCAGCTTGTTATAATAGAATTTGAACTTTATCTTTCCATTTTTCATTTATAGTATGAATCTAGATGTTATAGTTTTAAAGTTGCTTCTGTCCCAGAGTGATGACCAGTATAGTTATGACCCTGTGGTTATTTTGTCACATATAAAATACTCGTTCTAACCTGATAAAGAATGTTTCACAAATTTCTAATAAAAAAATCAGTTTCATTTATCAAAAAGGAGTCCAATATTAATAGTAATCAGCTATATTGGAAAAGCCATTAAATCAAAGACAAATTAAGACCAATGATTTATAAAATATCTACATTCATAAATTTATTGAAAAAACTGCCACTAATACAAACAGCAGCAATCATCTGTTAAGTTATTAGGTGCTGTACTCAGTACTATATATAATATACTCATTTAACATCTGTAACTACTCTATACGCAATATTAAAGCTCAGGTTTATAGAGTAACAACAGTTTACACTTGCTGAAGGCTTAATACAGAGAGACACTGTGCTACATACTTCATATGCAATTTCTTATTAATCTTTAAAGTAATCGAATGAGGTAGATGTAATCAATAACCCATCTTATAGATTAGGACATTGAGGCACAGAGATAGAAAGCTTAAGTAAACTGCTGCAGGCCAAACAGCTAGTAAACTGAGGTGTCAGAATGCAAACCAAGGTCTTTCTGACTTCAGAATCATGCTCTTGACTTTATATATAACTTTTATTCAGTCATTCTCAAGGGTTCACTATCTGCCAGCCCCCATCACACAATGAACAAGAATGATGCAGATTCTGTTCTCCCAGTGTCTTATAGTGCAAGAGCACTGGGCAGCCAGGTGAAGAGCTAGCCTACTAGACTAGGTGTGACGCCACAGTTCCAGTCCTTAACCACAATTCTCTGCTACAAAAGGCAACACAAATTTTTGCCTGAAACACAAGTCAGGAAACTTAAGCTTCATATTGATTTGGATGACTTTTTGTCTCCAGTTGTCCTCGAGTCACCTCTGACTCATGGTGAACTCTTGTGTCATAGTAGAACTGTGCTCCACAGGGCTTTCAACGGCTGATTTTTTTTTTAAATAAACTACTAAGCCTTTATTCTGAATTGGTTTATTTATATAGCCTCTTTTCACTGATGCATATTATTACTTACAAAAAATGATCCAGTCATGGCAACTTGTGCAATCTTTAAAGCACCATAAATGGTCACTTGCTTTTCTACACAAGTAATAAATTTATTTCCCATAATCAGTAACACAGAATTAGTCATTAAGAAATGTCTTTGAAAATTTCACTGGCACAACAGCACAATAATTTTATCTATTCACCTGGAACAACAGAGGAAGAAGAAGAATCAGGAATAGGAAGAGGATATAGAATGTGTGGCTAAATGTCTTAATGAAAAACTGTCTCCTTTGCCATGAGGCCAGAAGAACCAGATATTTGGATCAAAGATTCCATAGAAGAACCCTGATCAAAGTGGAAAAATGCAGAACAGAATTTCAAATTCTTATGACCTCTGGACTTTTTGGAGGCATGTAAAGTAGATAAACCCCTGTAACTATCATCCTGAAATAATCTTTAAACCTTAAACCAAAAACATTAAATCTTCTTACAGCCAAACAATAGTTTAGCTAACTAGTACAAAACGTCTGCCTTGATAATTATGCTCTCTTAAGAACTATCTATATAGGATTGACCTAAAGAAGTGAGAGCCAGGACAAGAACAGACATATGCACACCCATGTTCATCGCAGCACTATTCACAATAGCCAAAAGACGGAAACAACCTAGGAGTCCATCAACTGAGGAATGGATAACCAAACTATGATACATACACAATGGAATACTATGCAACCCTGTGGTGTAGTAAATTACTTAGTGTGGCTTTTCTACCCATAAGTCTTTGTAAACTCCAAGGTGAGATTTTCTATGAGCAACTGAGGAGCTCCTGATTGCTGAAGTTGTCCACCTGGAGTATTTCTGTTGGGAGTGGCACAAAACAATGTTCTGGGAGGTGCCCACTCTCTCTCAAGTGCTTAGAGTTCTGATGCTATGATTGGCTAGTTTGACCACCCTGCCAGGCTCAAAAGGAGGCCTCCTAGAGGCAGAACTCTCTCTCTGACTGCTGGTTGAGGAAGACGTGCTGCTGAAAGAGACATGCGCCCGGAAAGAGACCCGTACTGCTGGGAAAGAGACACAAGAGACACGCATTGCTGAGTAAGACACCGAGGGACATGCACTGCTGGGGGAGAGACTGTGAGAGACTTGGCTGAGAGATGGTGGGCTGAGAGAGAGACTGAGCGTTTTTCCTGAACTTGAGTTGTAGCCTGGTGTTTCCCTAATAACCCCATAATCTGTGAGTTCTGTGTGGCCACTGCAGCGAATTATCGAACCCAGGAGAGAGGTGGTGAGTGCTTTGGGAGGAACAGTTGGAGAAAGGGCTGAAGGGAGGCAGCATGTCTGGCCAGGCAGG